GTGTGTGTGTGTGTTTTTGTTTGTTTGTTTTTTAATCCTTACCTGAGGATATTTTTTCCATTGCTTTTCAGAGAGAGTGGAAGGACAGAGAGAGAGAAATATCAATGTGAGAGAGATACATCAATTGGTTGCCTCCCACATTCTCCCCAACTGGGGCTGGGGATCAAGCCTGCAACCGAGTTTTGTGACCTTGGCAGGAATCAAACCTGTGACCCTTCAGCTTGCAGGCTGATGCTCTAACCACTGAGCAAAACTGGCTAGGGCTGCCTGTTAGTTTTTTACAGATGACAATGACAGGATTTTGACATAATTTTCACATAACAGAATTTAAAGTACTAAAAAATAATTTAGTTCAATTACCTACATAAGTATGAACTCCTCTACATATCCTTGATAAGAAATGGTAAAACTCTCCTTGAATACCTCCAGTAATGGGTAGCTCACTCTCTCACAAGGCAGCCCATTTTGTTTTTAGAAAGTCAAATTCTCTCCTATCAAGCTGTCTACCCTCTTGGAATTTCCATCCTTTGATCCTAGCACTGCCTTCCAGAATCACACAGAGAAAGTCCAGTTCCCTTTCCACATGACTGTTCTTCAAGTATTTGAAGCCAGGTATCATGTTCCCCAGGCTCTTAGCTTTGGTCCTTGCAGCTCTTCCTCATGTGTCACAGTCCCTGAAGAGTCAGACCTTGGTTTGAATTCTGATCCTTGACTTTACTAGCTGTGTGACCGTAAGCAAGTTATTTAACATCTCTGAACCTGTATCTTCATATGTATAATACAGAAAACGATTTTAACCTCACAGGGCAGTCATGAGAATTAAATTAGTTAAAGGAAGAACACTACTTAGGACAGAGCCCAACATAAAACAGTCACTTTTCAGGATGTATGTCAATTAGTATATATCTCTCAAGTAAATTACTCAGAATTAAATGTAACACCATGGGACTGGTTTCTGACAGCAAGTGCCAGGGTTTGGGTTTTTGAAGAGCTGTCTATGAAGAAAGCACAGCCTAGGAGTTACGTGGGCCATCTGCAATGGCAGCCCAAAGATGCAGTGGAGAATCTGGAAAGGTGAGGATGAAAGAAGAAAAAGGGACGTATCATTAAACCAGTGACCCAAAAGAAAAGGTAAGTATCACCGTATTACAAGTTGTCTATTACTTCCTCCCTTAGACCCAGGACTCCACATGTGAGCCACATTTCCTAATTCAAAAAGGAGAGACAAGCCGGGTCAGGCATGGCTCAGTGGTTGAGTGCTGACCTAGGATCCAGGCAATCAGGGTTCGATTCCTGGTCAGGGAACATGCCCGGGTTTCGGGCTTGGTCCCCAGTCGGGGGTGTGCGGGAGGTGGCCTATCAATGACTCTCTCATCATTGATGTTTCTATCTCTCTCTCCCTCTCCTTTCCTCTCTCTGAAATCAATAAAGATATGTTTTAAAAAAAAAAAAGGAGAGAAGAAAATAAAAATAATGAAAATCACAGTTCTGGGTCTTCCCAGTAGTTGGTCCCTCAAGGTCCACAGATGTTTAATGAGGATCTTCAGTTGTATCCTTTAAGATCCTGAAGTTCAGGTGTGTGAAAATACCCTACATAGGATGTCCCAGGACTCAATACTGAGTTCCTTTCAGCTAGAAAAATTGTCAGTTGTGTGACAATTCTAAAACTCAAAACTTGCTAATCATAAATGTTAACACCACCACCATAATCTACACATATTCTCTTTCCTTCAGTAATCCTAAGGGAAGGAGTCCCAGGTAGAAATATGGATTGTTCAATTATTCTGCAGCGTTGACCCAAAGCACTGCTTTTACAAACTGAGATGTGACTTGAACATAAGTGCCCCTAAATAGGTCAAAAGAAGGATAGCCCAGCTGGTGTGGCTCAGTGGTTGAGCACTGACCCATGAACCAGGAGATGATGGTTCGATTCCTGGTCAGGGTACATGCCTAGGTTTCAAGCTTGATCTCCAGTAGGGGGCACGCAGGAGGCAGCTGATGGATGATTCTCTCTCATCATTGATGTTTCTATCTCCCTCTCCCTTCCTCTCTCTGAAATCAATAAAAACATATATTTTTTAAATCTCTTTAAAAAAAAAAAGAAAAAAGGATAGTAGGACCCCAGAATTATTCAAGCAGCATGATCACAAACTATGGCAGGAAAGGTAATTTCCTACCTGCCAATGAAATACAAACAATCTGTAATAAGGAAATCCATTGTTAGTTTCAGATTCAGCCCAAAGAAGCCCCAACAGTTACCCCTTAGTCTGTCACAGAGGATCTATCAACAGCCAAGATTCAGTTCAATTCCTTTAAAAATATAAAAATTACAGCCCAGGCCAGTATGTCCCGGTCAGTTAGAGCGTCAACCTGTGCACCAAAGGGTCACATGTTTGATTCCTGGTCAGGGCACATACCCAGGTTGCAGGTTTGATCCTGGGTCAGGGCGTGTACAGGAGGCAACTAATCCATGTTTCTCTCTCATCTCACATTGATGTTTCTCTCTGTCTCTTTCTCTCCCTTCTTCTCTCCCTAGAATCAATGAAAAACATATCCTTGGGTGAGGAGTAAAAAAACAAAATAAAATAAAAATTACAAACTTGGCCAGTTTGGGTCAGTGGTTAGAGGATTGGCCCATGGATCAAAGGGTCGCAGGTTCAATTTCTGGTAAAGGGCATATACTATGGTTGCAGGTTCAATCTCCAGCCCCAGTCGGGCACGTGTGGGAGGCAACCAATCGATGTGTCTCCCTCACGTGGATGTTTCTCTCTCTCATTCCCTCTCCCTCCTCCTCTCACCCTTCCACTCTCTCTAAAAAATCAATGGAAAAATATTCTTGGGTGAAGATTAAAAAATAAAAATGGTAAAAAAAATAAAAATCATAAGGAAGAATAAGCCAGAACAAAAACCAGAAACAGCCTTAAGTAGGTCCTTCATCTAGTGAACAGAGACTGACCACTCAAGAAGGACTGTAAGGAACAGAAAAGCTTAGTGTGGGCCATTGGGAATACCTGTGCCCTGCCTAGGTAGGGATTTCATGTCTGTAAGTCAAGACATGCCCTCAGAATAGTTTTATTCTCAAAACTGTTTCAGGCTTTATTAAAAAGAAACTCTTAACTGTCACTTTACCCTGATCATCTACCCCATCCTTGGGAAGAATGGGGAAGCTACAGCCAACCTGCCAGGCTTCTACGCTCACAAACTTGAGAGGAAAACTTTAAAGTTGCAACGCCTCTACCTCAAGAAGCTAAAGAAAGTCACAGAAGAAAAGGACTTTGGGGGATATAGTCAAATGAGGCTGTTAGACATTAGTCATAAGTTCCCATACCTCTTTTCAAGAGACCCTGTTAGTACACCTGCAGAGGAGAGCGGGAGGGCACTAAGCAAATTCAACCTGGCTGGCAAAGGGGCGTCCCACTGCAGCTTTCAGTAACAAGAATTGGATCCTGCAGGTTCGCTCTCTTCAACTCCACACTTTCTATTTACTCTTTGAAGTTACTACTGAATAGCCTGCCCCGTCCCAAGTAAAGGCCCTTTGTACCGGCAATACAGTTGCCTGGTGGAAATACTTTGGCAGAGTTCAGTTTGGTGCCAGGATAGGTCACTGAAGGCATCTGCGACTGGCAGAGCCTGGTCAGG